TGTTAACATGTTTATTCTTCTTTATTCATAGAAACATTGTACAGCTCAGAACAATTACATTTGCATTAGTCTTATTGCCTAATTTCAATTCAGCCTAATTTCCCTAATGCCTGATTTCAACAACTTCAGTACTTCAGGCTAGTTGAAGTTAGTTTTGGTTCAGTTGCCTTGCAGTTGAGATTGCTCAACTTTCCAGTACTCTTTAGGACAAAGACTTTTTTACAATCTTTCATTTCTTTGTAAGAGCCCTCAGCTATTTCTATTATTTTGAACGTCTCGTAAGGGGGAATCAGCACTTCATCCTCATCCAATCTTGAGTAGCTTTTGATGTTTGCACCAAAACAGGTCTCAGTGTAAAAGCAGGTCTCTCTTCCAAAAGTGATCTGATCTGGATCTGTACTAGAGGATGCAAAATAACCAAAGCGCATTTGTTGGTTGACTTCACCTGTATATTTGTCCTTGGTTCTCCTGTAGGTGGTTTTGACATGGCTTGTTATTGTCAGCATTAATGACCTGAAGGGCAGAAGTGATCCAAAAGTGTAAAGCGTGGTATGGGAAGTCCTTAGTGGCGTATTTAGCTTTACCTTCTTTGACCATTGCATTAAACGGACCATAAACATTGGGAAATTCTTGTGAGTAAACATAGACTGCTTGGACTTGTTCTAGGGTTAATGATTTGTCCGGACGTTTTTCATACTTTTTTTTTTGCAAAGGGGCCTGCAACCTTCCAAGCATTTTTAAATGGGTCAATGTTGTTCTCTCTGGGGAAGTAAACGTTCTTGACGACTTCAGCCATTGACTCCTTGCAGCCGTCGTACATGTCGTCAATTGAATTCTCCATCATACTCAGCGGAATTGACTGTATGGACTCCTAGGTAATTTCAGAAAGAAATAAAATATTATCCTTAAACCAACACAAATATCTTAAGAATTTGAATCATTAAACTCATACCATCATTGCAAAAGACGGAATCACCTGACAAAGCGTCAAAGCCAGCACTGTGGTCTCCATGTCTGTGAACTAAAGCAGAAAGAAGAATGTAAAACAACACAGAGTTATAGAGTAAACTTGATGCCCTTACCTCAGGTCCAGTCTGGTCTCTGTCTGCAGGTCAGTACAGTTCTGCTCTTAAATAGTTAAACTGTTCCTGTTTTTATTGATCTATTGGGAAAGTATTTCCTTCTAACAGTGACAAAACATTACATCATTGTTGTCAGAGCATCAGTGTTGAACCACACCTATGGATGTATAGATGTGTCAGTAGTTTTGAATGAGAATATTTCATGATGAATAAAATAACCTGAATAAAAAAATAGTTGAAATGGAACTAATTGGGGAAAGAAAGCATTAACATGTGATAGGTGGGTATGATTTTTCATTTTTCAGCATCTATAAATCAGACTGACAAAATTCAAGTTGCGAAAAAAAACAAAAAAAAAAAACTCAAGTTGCCAAATTCAGCGAAAAGAAAATTCAAGTTGAGAAATTCAGATCAAAAACATTCAGGTCAAAGTTCACCGCTCATTCTGTTACTATGGGAACTTGCCAACACCAGGGGGCGCCGTGCTCATAGAGGCCAAAAAGCAGAAGACATTCAACATTCTCACACACCATGAACAACCAAGTGGTAAATATATATTTTTTAAATGACTGTGTTACTTACGGTTTACTGGTTTATGTTTTCATAGCATCTTCAGTTTTACTGAGGCCTCAGTTACGAAATCAAGTGTTTTTAGAAATTTTGGGTATAGTCATTTCAGTCTAACAAAAAGAATGAATGTTAATGTTTTCTACTAGGCTATTTGGAGCCCGTTTCCGTGACTTAAACTGCGATGCCAGACTTTTGCACCGCATACGGACTGATCCCAGGACTGAACCTGGACTAAAGCTGGACTAAAACAGGACTAAAACAGGACTAAACTAGGACTAAACCAGGAAGGAACCAGTACTGAGTGTCGGGATGGGCCCGCACTGACCGGGATTGAGTAAAAGTAATGTAAAATTATACCCAACTATCACATGTTTTTTTTTTTTATTATTCCCATTTTCCATTTTATTTTTTATTTGAGTTGTTTCATTCATCATGAAATATTCTAATTCAAAACTTCTGGCACATCTATACTTCCATACACACCAGCCTTCACATAAGACAATATGAAAAAATACACAATTAAAAGAATAATTAAGTATGACATCAAATCATTTAAAGCTGCCATCCAACCTAACAATTATTTATTATTTCACTTTTATTGTATACTTCATGGTGATGGTGCAGTGGAATCATGAAATAATTGCATTATCATTACTGTGCGTAATGAAAGTAAGCCAGTCTTCTGCCGAAATGAGCTACCTGCAGCCTAAATTGACAGTGACGTATATCGATTCATGCTACCCCGTCGAAATAAGCTACTTTACGTTTTTCCGTGCACAGTTGTATAGATCCAATAAAGCCTCACCCCAGTTTTACAACATATTTCTTTGGATTAGAGACGCGGGTTTGATGTCATTTGAACACGGTGATCAAACTTTATACCTCAGTTATGTCAATTTCAACTCATTTAATTTATGAATATGTGAAGGTAGTTCATCTGGACAGTCATGTTCTGCTCAAATAGGGCTCCAACTAAAGGTAGAACATATCGACAGGACAATTTAGCCATCGAATAAAACTCCCACTAGAGAAAGAAATGACTGGAAACACTGAAATCTTTATATTAAATAAATATCATCGTCAACAGTGTGAATTTCTATGATAATATAGTGATATTTTATTTATGCAGTGCCTTTCTAAACAAAGTTACAACATTTTCTACACATGGAAACAAAATATAATATGATGTATTGAAAATTATAACAATAAAATATTAAATCCAAACTATTCAATCACCTAACGTAGGTTTTCTGCTGTGAATCTAACACACACACACGTCGTTGCTTAACTGGTCAAAACATACAATGAAACCAATACACTTTAAAAATGTGACTTGTTACTCCACTTCAGCCTCAGAAGCTCAAATCAACGGGATTTAAACTCTTAACAGCGCTTGGGGGTTGTGTGCATGCGCAGTGGCACCAGGGAGCTCAAATCGACAGGAGACCAGTACTGTCCAGTTCTGCAAACTCCTACAAGATTTGGTGGTGGTACACAATCTCAACTGCAAGGCAACGAAACCAAAACTTCAACTTCAACTAGCCTGAAGTACTGAACCTGTTGAAATGAGGAATTAGGGAAATAAGATTGAATTGAAATAAGACTAATGCAAATGTAATTGTTCTGAGCTGTACAATGTTTCTATGAATAAAGAAGAATAAACATATTAACAATGTGTGTGTAATTAATGACAGACTGTAAGACAATCTTTGGGCTCGAGAACGAAAGTTGAGCAAACTAAACCACAGGACAATCTGACGCTGTGTATTTAAATTATATTTAAATAATTCCCCTTGTGGATCAGTACAGTTTGTCTAAGTCTATTACTGTGATGGGATACATTCAGCTCAGACTTCATATATTTAAACAACACTGCAACTAAAACAAACTTTTATTTCAGTGAATATACCTAAGAATCACATACAAGATATCATAGCTCACACCTACAGTATTCATGAATGTTTTTGAGAATTCACTACCTATCCTCCTAAACACTTTAGTGTGGGTTCATCTCATAAGTGAACACAAAGGATGAGTTAAACACTGATGACCTGGTGACACTCATGCCACTCTTCGTTCCTGTTTAATGTAGAAGGTGTTAGAAACGTTATGTTGTTTTTTCACAAGTACAAAATCACACTCACTAATCTTGAAGTTTCATGTATTTTTTGTAAATTGTAGTAGGCTTTTATCTTACAAGTGCTGTGACATTTGCAGTATTTACAGTTTCTTAAGTGATTCCAAAGAAAAGTGCTGCAACTGCAGCAATGAATGTTGTAACTGATAAACGCAAAAGTTCGTGACCCTGACTCTGCCAAAGTAATAACATGCAGAAGTGTAAGCACAACCAAAGAGTATTCAGTTAATAGATAATCAATATTTTATTAAAACTTAAATATACTAATGCCAATTTGAGCCCATCCACACATTACACAAAGGTAAACCCAAATCCTTTTTTATCTGCTCATTTTTGTCACATTAATTTGACTTTATCATTCATAATTCATTTATCATTCCAATTTTTCTCCTAAAACTTAAAAAAAAATCTCTTTCAGCTGTCTGAAACATTACATTTATATATTACATATATTTATTAACGTGGAATAGTCTATTTAGACATTCTAAACAGATCTGTCGCTCAGAATTTGGTTGAGACACTTAGTATGAGGGAATTCTTGGTCTGGGTCAAATGTGACCTGAATCGTGTTGTGAAGACTTAAGAAGACTTACGGAATTATAAAGGTTAAGTGAAATAGATACTGTGGAAGATTATAAGGCCGAAGTCCAGGCCAAAGAGAGTCAGATTTATGGAGATGCAAGCCCAGTGCATTGTGGACAAGTTCAAGTTCTTTGCAGCAGCCAAGGATCCACAGATACATGCTGGGTAAATGAGCCAAACAGAGAAGTCTAGAGTGAAGGGCATGAGGGCTCTGGGGGGAATTAGAACATCACTTATGATGACGTTGATGACGTGGATCTCTCCGACGTGGTTCAAAAGCCAAGGATCCTGGGAATTATGAAACAGCCAGAGTTCCTCCGGTGTGTCCTGGGTCTCCCCCAAGGCCTCGTGCCGGTGGGACAGGCCCGTTAGTTACACCAGAAGTGTCTGTACTTTCATTTGCTATTTGTGTTGTGTTCATTGTGTTCTTTTTGAAAATGTCTGTGGAGAAAGATTTTACAATGTTAAGCTCCATATAAATAAGCTCTTAAAATGTAAGGCTGATGTTTGTGATGTGGACATTGTAAATAAGGCTGGTGTGATTAAACACTGATGCTCTGAAAACAACGATGTCATTCTTTGTTCCTGTTCAACAAATAAGGAAATGCTGACAACAGGAACAGTTCAACTATTTAAGAGTGGAGCTGCACTGACCTGTAGACAGAGACCCGACTCGACCTGAGGTAACAGCAGCAAGTTTACTCTATAACCCAGATATGTTGTTTTACATTCTTCTTTGTGCTTTAGTTCACAGACATGGAGACCACAGTGCTGGCTTTGATGCTTTGTCTGGTGATGACTTCTTTTCCAACGGTAAGGATTTTTATTCAGATTATTGTGAAATATGTCTTGGTTTAAGGACAATATTTTATTTCTTTCTAAAATTATCTAAGAGTCCAAACAATCACCAACCCAAATCCTCCGTTCTATACTTTTATTTAAAGAAACTATATGATGCCTGCAGTCTTACAGTTTGAACTGAACACAACTGAACCTGGGCTTTAATCTGCAGATTGAGGACACATACAAGTTCTCGTTCATTGTCAGTCATTGTACACTGTGATATCAGACACTGAGACTGCAGAGCACATGAGCTGCTGAGCTAGGTAGAGTGACCTGATCACAGATGAGACTGCAGTTTAGGTTTAAAACAAACTGAATTTCAGCTTTGCACATGTTATTGCAGTATATGGACACATACACTGAGCTGCAGAGGCTGCAGTGCTGGGGTTTAGGTAGTGATCGTTCAGATCAGAGAGACACATTTTAGGTTTAAAACAAACTCATTTTGCTTTCTGACTGAACCAAAACAACAAATAAATGGGACATCATGTCATTTTTTTTTGTAATTTAGAATTAATCAGCATTGCAATTGTTACCAGTAAAAGTCATTTTTGATTTGAACACGTCTGCCTCATAGACATGTTCAAATATAGTTAGGCCATGTTTATGGGATTTAAAATCTAAATCTTACACACAGTTCCTTTCTTCTCTTTCCTCTTAAATTGTCCAGGAGTCTGTGAGAATTCCCCTGAGTATGATGGACAACTCGATTGATGACATGTACAACGGCTGCAGTGATGCAATGGCTGAAAAGGTCAAGAATGAATACTTCCCCAGAGAGATGAAGAAGAATGAGTTATTCAAAAAGGCCTGGGAGAATAAAGAAAAGACTGCAACTAAAAGCAACAAGACACTGACCAAAGAGCAGAACCAAGCGTTGTTGGTCTACACTGGACAGGCCCCTAAGGTCTATGAACCCTTTAATGCAGTGGTTCGAGACAGTGCAGATAAATATGCCACTAATGAATTCACATACCACGCTTTACACTACTGGCTGACTACTGCTTTACAGAGAACTTAAATCAAATACATGCCGTATCACCTACAGGAGAAGCAAACAAGAATTTACAGGTGAAGTCAATCAAGAAATCCGATTTGGTTATTTTGCCTCCTCTTCGCCCAGTCCCAGTAAGACACAGTTTTGGTATCAAAACTTGCTTTCAGATTGAGACTTGTTTAGGTGTGTCCATCAAAGACTATTCGCTCTATAGTAGTGAAGATGAGGTGCTAATCCCTCCCTATGAGAAGTTCAAGATCACTGAAATTGCGAAGGACACTTATCAAAAGCTGAAAAAATGTGAAAAGATCTATGTTCTGAAGAGTACAGGGAGCCAGAGTAACCTCAACTGCAAGGCAACTTAGCAAGACTTTTCTTTTTCATTTTTATGCATTTTTACACTGAACAAACACATGAACTGATCCAAAAAATTCAAGTCTCATAAAAGAGTGAAAAGTCTCATCACTACTGGACGTTCTGGGCAATATTAGTGTGCATGTTTAAAACTTTCTCATAAGTGGAGGGGGTGTGCTCTTAGAAACATATGAAAGTTGTGTCCCACTTAATCTGTACTCTGCACTGAATTCATACAATGTAACAGCAGCTTGCACATATAACACGCCATTAAAACATAAAAAAATAAAAGGCTTATAAAATAATTTTGTCTTTTTTGTCTTAATTTGATGCTTGTTTCATTTACTGAAATAAATAAATAAATAAATACATAAATCATCATCATCACTGTTAGAATAATTGTATATGTTATCCCATATTTTCTATTAATGCTTACTGTTTTTGTGTGAATAATGTTTGGGCTTAAAAACTATGCAGTGACCTGTCACCCACTCTGCACACCGCTAAAACAATGACCTATTCAGCTCTTTTCTGGGAAAGAGCACAGCTCCCAACGTTGGCGGAAAGGAGGGGACATGCTGTTCCCTAAAGATGCTACAAAGTTGCTACACCTTATCGGCCACCTGCTGCTGATATACATATTTGCACAATGAAATCATGTCTAATGTTTCTACTGTTTTTTGCTGTTTTCAACCCCTCCCTTTAGAGAAACATTCATTGTAATTAGGGACCCTCTTATGACAATAAAAAGAGGAGACGCAGAGCGGGTAGAGACTGTAACAGTAAATGCACTCTCTGTCCGCCCTCCTCATGAGAAAACAATGTTACAATGTTTAGGTGGGCTTAAACCTGACAATCACCATATCAGATTCATCGCTACATGAAACATCCTACAGCAGTAAGTTAAAGTTTAAAGCTTTTCATGTTTTTCTAATTATCACTTTGTTTTGTGTTGATATACATAAAGGTAAAGCTTCAGGGATGATTGGCTTTTTCATTTGTGAATCTATTTTTTTAAAAATACTCATCTGAGAACTGAAGTTATAAAAAGGCTTACACAACAAGTAGCACAAAAAACACTGAAATTCATCTTGAACACTGCAGTGGAAATGTGAATGTATAAAAACGTGCTATCGTTGTGTGCTCTCATGCAGGTTTTGGTATCAGTTGTGACCACAGCTTGAGTGGAGGAAGAGTGGAGGTGAATGAGTCTCACCAGCAGAAGGAAGCAGAACTGAACAAGTCACATCAGCTGGACTGGAAGATGCAAGAGATGATGTGTGATAGCTCAACACCAACTGATGAAGCTGAAGTGCTAGAAATTATAATGAGGATGAAAAGCTAAATATGTTTTACTCATATGTAGATAAACTATATAAACGTAACACTGACCCAAATCTTCTATTTAAATCAGAACAATTCTCAGTTAATTTAGTTGACAACTGACACAGACATGAAATGTATTCTACTTTGAATTAGACTATTACTATTAGATTATTACTAGAACTAATACTATATAATAGTAGTTTTGGGGAAAGCTATAGCTATTACAAGATAAGTAAAGATATCACCTTATTAAAAAAATTCCACTTCATGACTTTGAAGCCGTAACATTTAATATGGTTGAAATTTGAAAGCTGGTCAACACAAAAACAAAAACAAAAACCTATTCAATCTGTTAATCTAGTGTCATTTCAGAACCTCAGACAGCACCACATGCAAAACACTTGACAATGCTGCCATCTGCTGGGTCTTTAAAATGACCAAAACATTTCTAGAGACGTTTGTACAAATTTTATGAAGAGTCAAAATGAAAAGAAAATTGGAAACATACGTCATAAATTACAGAATGATGAAATAAGACTGTGGAACTGAAACATTTTTAATCTAATTATTATCAAATTGTTAAAAATAGTAAATGATTAACTTCGGTCTTTTTAATCGACATGCCCACATACCAATATACAGTACTAAATAAGAGTAATGTTACTTCAAATTAAATACAATAACTAGTGGTCCAAGAGTAACTGAGAATTATTGCTGGGACATAATATGTGATTCATAATTTTAAGTAAATGTCAGTTTAAGAAAAATAAATAAATAAATAAATAAATAAATAATAATAATAATAATAATAATAATAATAATAATAATAATAATAATAATGTATCAAATCTGGTATTTTCAAAGGACGTATGAAAGAGCGGTGCAAAAACATAAATGTTCGAATCATTTCATATTTTCAGCAAAAAGCTTTTGTCACTTTGACTTACTCTCAGTGGGAAGAGCATTTAGTCAAGTAAAAGTACTGTTACTTCAATTAAAATATAGTTCAATTAGGAGTAAAAGTATTCTGCAAGAAAAGTACAATTTCTTTAAAAAGTGAGTCAAGAAAATGTACCTGAGTACGACCCAGCTCTGGTTCTAAGTTCTGTACCCTCTTCACTCTTAAACTGTGTGAAGTTTAATGTTTATTTTAGAAAGAGGAGCAGAGTGGACAGAGATGTGATGAGTAATATGGACAGTGGAAAGGCGGTAGCTTTACATTATTTAATGGCATTACTTAATTATTCTTTTAATTGTGTATTTTTTCATATTGTCTTATATGGACATTGCAAATGAAGCTGGTGTGGTTAAACAATGATTCTCAGATAATTATTATGATTATTTATTATTTATTTATTTATTTCATTCATAAAGCATAAAAAGACATCGACAGTGTCACAACATCAGACAC